CACACACACACACGCACACACACACATTCTCAAAAGTTAATAAGCAGTGAACTAGGATTTCGGATCAGGAGTACTGTGTGACATCTGCACTCCTTTCAAAACTTCTGGTTTTGGAGACAGACTCTCACTACATTGTTGAATTGCTGGGTTGCGCTCAAAGTGACCATCCTCCTTCGTCGGCTTCCGACAAGGCCCCGGGTGCGAGATCCCAGACTTTCCCACGCGTCCGTCCCTCTTTGAGGTTGCTGTGGAGGCTTCTGCGGTGACCACAGGTGCAGTGTCACTGAACAATCCCTGGCGCTTGGTGCGCATCAGCAGGCGCGGTTTCCACTCCTGTTATTTCCCCATTTCTCTGAGCAGATAAATACATGCTAGCAGATAGGACAAAGGACAGCAGCTGAAGATCATTCTTGTCGCCAAGGCTTAGTGGCTCATCACCTCCAGATTGTTCAGGAAAGTCCTTTAACCTCTTTGGATCCCAGGGACCTCCTGTGTGACATGAACGCATCCTTAGGACCAGCCCTGAATAATAGGTTTTACTAACTTTACTTGGAAACCTACTAGCCTCTCACACCAAAATGTATAAATCTCCACAGAGAGATCTTGCTGCTATCATGGTGGAACTTTTCTCGAATTTTTCTGAGGCTCTCTGCGTTAGCGCTGCCGTACTCACGTATTAGTGTAGACCACAGTTCCTGCGCGCCATGGATTAGGTTGAGATGCAGTTTCACAAATGAACTGCAAGGAGCCCGTAATTGCGTGTCCTGCTCCCAGACACGCGAGCCATTCTCAGGCCAGACACCTCCCGATCTGCACATGGGCCGCGGGGGCATCCGATTCTCGCGTGGGCCTTTTGAAATAAAATTAGCATACATTAAATGCACATTTTTAATGTGATAAGCTGATTTCTAAGCCAGTTACTCCCTTGTGATCTCTAATGTAAGTAATACAGTTTCTGAAGTAGCATAGAAAATTTCCCAATTAAATTGTGTTATTTAAACATGTACAAAAATGTCCCAGAATACACAGTTGTCCGTGAACGCATACACATACTTACTCAGGTAGAAAATAGACTTTTAAAGAAAACTGATAATTCAGGTTATTAATAAAACAATTTTTTTTATTTTGAAAAGAAAACAAAAATTTAAAATACCAAGAAGTACTGATGGCTGCTGATAAAGCTCAGTGGCATGAGAGCTCCTGAGTTCAAAGCTGGTACCAAAAAAAAGATAGTGCATCTAAGAAGTACCAAACATTTCAGAAGAAAAAAAAAGTCCTACTGATTGTGTATTGTATTGTATTGTATTGTATTGTATTGTATTGTATTGTATTGTACTGTATTATGTATTTGATACAGAGTCGCACTATGCAGCTAGGACTTATAGTGATACTCCTGTTTTCAGCCTCCCCAGTCCTGGGATTACATGCGTGCACCACCACACCAGGTCTTGGTGGCTGGCTCAATATGCCTGGGGGGTGTCGGGGATCAAACCCGGGTCCCTGTGCTTGCCTAAGCAGGTGCTAAGTCCACTGAGCTATCGTGCTGTCCCTCTACTGCTTGTTGTAATGCATAAGTCAGATGAATGAAGGAACCAGATAATTATCATTTTAGGACTGACTGTTTCCCTGTTTTTTACATTCTTGAAGGAGCAGTTGATTCCCATAATGGGCAGTTCAGGACATGCTCAGTTTTTTTAGTTAGTAACAAATCCAAGAAGTACCTCGTAGCATGGGCTCATTTGGTAGCGCCCATCTCCTAAGACGCCACAGTAATATGCTACAAGGCAAGCTACACAGTCTGCTGCAATGCAAGCAGAGGTTTAGAAGACCACAGGGCAGACCAGCAGTTGCTCCACAGAGCAGCGTTTTCCACTGCAATGGCAGGTCCTGTCTTCTCCCTGTTCCCACTGACCAGAGTCACAAAGGTTTGACAGAGAATATGGCAAGATCCTCTTGTAGTTGTTCCCAACACTGTCACTTTTGGGGGAACACTGAAGGTTCTTCCTAGGTCCCCAGAGCTCATCCCTAATGGTATCATTTTGAATAAATCCTCTGTCCAAATTGACTTAGCCAGTAGACAGTGTACTCAGGTGAGCCATGTAATAGTGAAAAATTTCTTTTCTTGCCAAGTCTATGAGAAAAAAGCACAAGCCTCCCTAGGGGGAGATTTTCCATGTGTTGGGGATGGCCAACACCTAGAATAAAAGCAAAGGATTATCTTAATCGCAAAGTGGGCACTCAATAAATTATAACTAATTAAATTCAGGGGTGGCCTGAAATATGCCAAGAAAGGTAGTTATTGTAAATTAAATTCTTCTCAAAGAAATTGTGTGAACAAGTAAACATGAAATGTAGATCCAGGGAAAAATTTTTTTTTCTGTGATGTTACATAAGCTTTGCTTGCCAACTCTCCGAATGCGACATTCCAGTTTCTCTAGTAGTACTGCAGAAAATGCCTCCCTTTAAAATGTAAAACTAAACTTCTGGCATTTATCCATATGAATACGGAGGAACAGCGAAAAAGCCATCCGTGGTAGCGCATATTTGCAAGCTCAGCACTCAGGAAGCTGAAGCAGAAGGATTTCTGTGTATTTGAGGCCAGCCTGGACTACATAATGAGTTCAAAGGCAGCTTGGAATGCCTAATGAGACCCTCTCTCAACAAACACACAAAAACAAAAAAAATGACAATAATTTGAAAATGTTTTCTTTCTCCTATAGAGACCTGTAAGTAAAAGTTTGTAAAAGTATATAACCATTTTCTCTGTGGTTTATCAGCTCTCTTTCTTCCTAGTTTTTAAAATATTACTTGGGAAATAGAATCATTTAAGTACCATAATTACAAGGAATATGCTTCAACTCACATCATAGACCTAAAAGAAAATGGAATTGGTTTCCAGGTGCTTCTTATAAGTAATCTCTCTTAATGTCTTTTTAAAAAAAATTATTTGTTGTTGTTGTCAGTACTGAGGATTAAAGCCAGGGCTTTCACGCTGAGCCACATCCCTGGATCTTTTTACTTTCATTTTTATTTGGTGACGGGCCCCTCTAGGTCAATCACTATGCTGCCCGCAGGCTCGCGGAAATGGTGAGCATCCAGTCTCAGCCTCCCAGAGCGCTGGGGTTACTCCTACACGCAGCTGATAACGCCTCAGTGTACTGCCGCAGCCCCCAGCAGGCGCTGTTTATTCAGTGCTTTGTGGTTTTCATGAGGACACATGCATAGTCTCGAGTGGAAAGCCTGGGTTGCTTGCTTTTGGGGTTGTCTGGGTCCCAGATGAGCCCGTAGCCAGGCTTCTGTACCCTACAAAGTCTAGGAAATGTTAGAAATCATTAACTCAGAGTCCAGCTTGGGCAGCATGATGGTCAGGTTGCTGCTACTGCAATGGCATTCTAAGAGCATTTCTTAGAATTATGACCAATGTGAAAGCAAATGCTGTGGTCAGCAATGTAGATCAACCCGGGCAAACTGCGTTGTGACGTAAAATAGGAAGGTGTAAATGCACCACAAAATGTTAGTGTGCAGCAGTAGTATTTATGTGTAGGGCCACTAGGAAACCTCTGCAGTAGGCAGGAAGGTACTGATACATTTCTGGGCTTGTCTTTCTCACTATTTTCTTCAGGGTTGTTGTCTTGGTTAAAGTTATACCTTCCTCTGCCTCTATGCTCCCCCTCGGGTGGTTCCTCATCATCTTCAATATCCTCGGAAGATTTCATAAGTTTCATTTTACTAAAGTCAAGTATTTAATAGTCTAAAATGTATTTAGTGTATTTGAATTAAAAAAATATTTTATTTATTTTATTTATTTGGTACAGGGTCTTGCTACACAGCTCGGACTGATAGTGATTCTCCTGTCCCAGCCTCCCCAGTACTGGGATTACAGACGCGTGCCACCATGCCTGGTTTGGGTGGCAGGCACGGCACATCTAGGATTCCTGGGCCCACACAGCATATGGTACCAGGGATCGAACCTGGTTCTTGAGCTTGCCAGACAGGCACTTAGACCACCAATCTATCTCTCTAGCTCTGCATTTAGTATATTTTAAATGAGAATCTAATTTTGTTTCCTTCTAGAGGTGAATCACCAGTTGTCATCTTAATTTACTGAATAAACCATTATGTTTCTTCCTGTTGAGAATAGACTGCCTGTTGCCATGACAGCATATCTATATATGAATGGACATAAGAATGAGCAGAATAGTGGGATGGAATAAAGAATTTAATACATGTATTCCATTGCAGTGTCAATGTTGTATCAGTTTTATATTAAGCTCTAATACTTGATTTAGAATTGTACCTCTCACTACTGTTCCAAATGTGTGCATCCTCTTATAAGAGCTTTTGCAAAGTTCCGGAACAATCTCATGGGAATTTGAAATTGTCATCATATTAAATGATTAAGACCAGAGAGATCAAAACATTTGAAGATTCTGAATAAACTTTTTTAATCAATTCTTATTTTTTAATCCTTAGATAAAATTTTTAGAATTTCTTTGTACAGTCTTACACAAATAAATCCTTGGGATAGGAAGATGGCTCAGTGGAATAAGTGCTTCCTTGGCAAGTGCAAGGACCTGAGTTCAATCCCTGGTTCCGAAAAAAAAAAAAAAAAAAAAAAAAAAAAAAAAAACACCAAATAAATTTTTGTATA